AAAAAAAAAGCCCAGATGGGGAGAGAGGGGTCTTGTAGTGTCGCCCAGGCCGGCACAACTTCACAGCTAGTCGGAGGCTCCAGGAAGCCGGCTTCTCTCTCTGAGCCCCTCTCCTCTAGGCCTTCGCATTCTGGCGCTCACCCAGGTCTGTGGCAGTACTGGGAGCCTGCAGCCAGGCAAGGGACGGCAGGGCCACCTTCTCTCCAGCCTGCTCCCAGCAAGTGCAGGAAGGGTCGTTCCCACACCCACCAGCGGGAAATCGAGCCCAACAAGCTGAGGCTTTGACCCTCTTTCCAGTGACGGCCCTCTTTTTCAAAAAACTCTTCAGTCATATCCGCCTGCTTTCAACTCCTTGGTTACTGGCCAGGACGGCCACGGGAGAGGAACACATCACACAAACACTTCTTCTGTTCCTCCCCCCGCCCAGCCCACCCGCCAGAGCCGAACAGAGGGCAGCCAGAGCAGGGTCACTCAGCTGCCTGGGGCTCCAGCACTGGTGCCTTCTTCCTGACACAGCCAAACCCTGAGCAGAGCAGGGAGGACCGGCTCACAGCCCCCGCAGTCCCCTCATCACGTAGTCCTGAGCTGCGGTCGAAGACGGGCGCGGCCCAGGTGGAAGCGTCAACCACACGACAGACAAGGAAGGCCGGGAAATAAACAGGATAGTGTGTGCTGCATCTCTGGGTTCATATCCACTTACAAAAAGGTCTCATGACCTTGACATTATACTGGGGGAGCCAGGGAGTGAGGATCTCTAGAAGAGGCTCTACACATTTTAAATTTAATTAATTAATAATTTATTAATTAACTTTTTTTTCTGTAGAGATGAGATCTCACTAGGCTGCCCAGGCTGGTCTTGAACTCCTGGGCTCAAGCAATCCTCCTACCTCATCCTCCTAAAGTGCTGGGATCACAGGCATGAGCCACTGCACCCGGCCTGCTCTACATATTGAGGTGGAGGAAGAACATAGTAGAATCTCTGCTTTTATTTATTTACTTAGATATTTATTTTTGAGTCAGTCTCACTCTGTCGCCCAGGCTGGAGTGCAGTGGCACACTCACAGCTATTGCGGCCTTGACCTGCTGGGCTCAGACAATTCTTCCGCCTCAGCCTTCCACATATTAGAACCACAGGCATGTACCACGCCAGCTAATTTTTTGATTTATTGTAGAGATACAGTCTCGCTATGGCTGGTCTCGAACTCCCAGGCTCAAACAATCCTCTCGCCGCTACCTCCCACAGTGCTGGGATTACAGGTGTGAGCCACCACACCTGGCTGAATCTCTGCTTATTTGCAGTTTCATAGTTTAAATGTTTGTATTGTATAATGCATGTATTTAAACAGTTTAATCTATAAGAAAACATACGAATGTTGTAGCAGATGTTCAGGAATGTGTTTACGAAGAAAGCGTGTCATCAAAATGTCTGAAATCCACTATCGAGCCGTCATGCTGTTTGCCACAGGAATGTGCCGGGGTGAGGTTCTTCCAACCGCCAGCCTGGTGGAAGGCCTGGGTTGTTGGTGGGAACTGAGGTGCTGTCAACATTCTACTTGAGACAACAGCAGCAGGGGACCGTCTCTGCCTAACAAAAGAGAAGACAGTGCCCCAGAAGGCCAGAAGAGGTGTCAGTCCCAACCAGGCCCCCAAGGGAAACCAGATGCGATAAGCTCTTCGGCAGCTGAGATGAGAGGGGCGAAATCACACCTGGTCATTCTCCAACTCACACTCAGCCCTTTCCCCATGTCCTGTCCTCTCCTGGGAGCCATAAATGTCAGCTAATCTCCATTTCTCACTGGGAGATGGGGGAAGCCAGTGGTGGACCTAATCTTTCCCAGATTCTGTTTGTACACAGTGATCCTGCACACCCTGGAAGCACACCAGCAGGCGCCCAGGAGCAGGGCGGCCACCCAGAGGAAGGGACCCAGACACCCACTCCCTCTGCAGTGACGTCAGTGCCGTCTCCGTGGGCGGGCAGGGGGAGGCAGGGTGTGGACACTGCCCGCAGAATGGAACGCATTCTTCATCAAACTGGGAGGTCAGGACTGACATTGACAGTGGCCTTGATAAAAGGAATGCTATTAAAGCTACATACTGTAGGAAAGGGGCGGAAAGACAAACTAGACCTGAATGGGTCTGGGCACAAACAGGAAAAAAACTCAGCTGATAAAAAGTCAGCACTTGAGTCTGGGCTTGGTGGCTCATGCCTGTGATCCATTTTGGAAGGCTGTGGCAAGAGGACTGCCTGAGCCCAGGGGTTTGAGACCAGCCTGGACAACTTGGAGAGACTTCATCTCTACTATAAACCAAAACTTAGCTGGGCACGGTTGGAGCGCCTGTAGTTCCAGCTACTTGGAAGGCTGAGGCTGGAGGGATTGCCTGAGCCCAGCATGTCAAGGCTGCGGTGGCAGTGAGCGTGACACTGCACTCCAGCCTGAGCGACAGAGTGAGACTCCAACTCAAAAAGAGAAAGAAAGTCAGCATTTGAGAGTTAGAAATTTTTTAAATGTCAGGCTCGTGCTCCACTGCACGTTCCACCAAGACTTGAATGCTCCCCAGGGCATTTCTGCAGCCCTAAATCCCGGCACAGTGACGGCAGCAGTGTCCCCTCCTCCCAGAGAGGGGCGTCGCTGGGTGAGCAGGGTGCGAGCTTGGAGGCAGCACTCACTTCCTCTGAGTACCCATCTCCTGTCCTCTCTCCTTTCATCACTCAGAGCATCCCAAGATCTGCCTACCTCGGACCCTGAGGCAGACCTACATCCGGAAGGTTGGAGACACCGTGAACCTCCTCATCCCGTTCCAGGTGATCCTGCCAGCCCTGGGCTGCTCCACGTCTGGGAACCAGGCCAGGCCTTTGATTTGGAAGTGGATACCAGGAGTCCTGCTGGTACTGGGGCAGTCCCCCTGCCCTTGAAGGGAAGGGGCCACGTCACCAGCAGTCTGAAGCCAAATGACCTGTCCACCTGGCACCCCTGAGGGCGGCTTTGGGTAGGGGCGGGCGTGACCTGTGAGGTGCAGTGAGGCTAGCCCTTGCCTTCTAGTCTGCAGAGGTCTAGGAGCATTCGGATTGGAGCGTCCTGGGGGTGTGAGCGGCTGTTTATTTATTCATTCTAAGTCTGAGTCTCACTGTCGCCCAGGTTGGAGGGCAGTGGCGTGTTTACGGCCACCGCTGCCTCGACCTGCTGGTCTCAGACAGTCCCTCCAGCCTCAGCCCTCCAAGTAGCTGGAACCACAGGTGTGTGCCACCACAAACCAGCTAATTTATTTGATTTATTGTAGAGACGAGGTCTCACAAAGTTACCCAGACTGGTCTCAAACCCCTGGACTCAAGCAGTCCTCTCGTCTCCACCTCCCAAAGTGCTGGAATTACAGACGTGGGCCACCATGTCCAGCCTGAGTGACTATTTATTTTTATTATTATTATTTTTTTGAGTTGGAGTCTCTCTCTGTCGCCCAGACTGGAGGGCAGGGGCCGCTCCCGGCCACCGCAGCCTCGACCTGCTGGGCTCCGGCGATCCTTCCGCCTCAGCCTTCCGAGTAGCCGGGATTACAGGCACGCGCTACCACGCCCGACTGATTTTTTGATTTATTGTATTTAATAGTTGGTCCCAGCCGTGCCGGGTGTCCATGGCCAGAGCTCCCCGAGGGTGAGACTCAAAGCCATCCCCATCTCCTACGACCTCTTAGGCTGTGGCTGAAAGGAGAAAGCCCCCCGGGAGTCAGTTCACCTGGGGGGGTGGCGGGACCCCGGCCCATGGGGAGGGCTCCTTGAGCCTTATCCTCATGCCTCAGGGCAAGCCCAAACCTCGGGCTACCTGGACGCGCGATGGCCGCGCCCTGGACGCCAGTCGTGTGAGCGTGCGCAGCGGGGAGCGAGACTCCATCCTCTTCATCCGAGAAGCCCAAAGAGCAGACTCGGGTCACTACCAGCTCTGCGTGCAGCTGGGTGGGCTGGAGGCCACCGCCACCATCAACATCCTGGTGATTGGTACGGTCGGGGGGCGGGCGACGGTGGTCCTCAGAAGCTTCCTCTCCAGGCCGGGGAGGAGCCGTCTCGGAGGGCTGGGGAGGCTGCGTGAGGCCCCCACCACAAGTCTGGGACACGGGGTGAGTGTGGGAGGGCCCGGGGCACCCCTGAAGTGTTGTTGACGCAGGTGGGTGGCACTGTGCCCACTGACGTGGCTTTGCCCTTTCAGAGCGGCCAGGCCCTCCTCAGAGCGTTAAGTTGGTGGACGTTTGGGGCTTCAACGCCACCCTGGAATGGACACCCCCCCAGGACACAGGCAACACGGCCCTCCTGGGCTACACTGTGCAGAAGGCGGAGACAAAATCCGGGGTGAGGCCCAGCTGGGAGGGAGCGGCGGGGCATTCTGGGACGGGCTTCTGGTAGCCCCACGTGGGCGAGTTCATCAACCAGGCGTCCGATTCCCGGCCTGCAGCTGTGGTTCACGGTGCTGGAGCGACACCACCGCACCAGCTGCGTGGTCTCCGACCTCATCGTCGGCAACTCCTATGCCTTCCGGGTCTTCGCTGAAAACCAGTGTGGGCTCAGCGAGACGGCCGCCATCACCGCCGACCTCGCCCACATCCAGAAGGCAGGTGAGGAAGGCCCGGAGGCCAGGCTGGGAGGCTGGGGATGAGGAGCTGGGAGGGGTGGGCATCTCGGAGGCTGCATCATGGCCCCTCTTGGTGCCCCCAGCTACTGTCTACAAGACCAAGGGGTTTGCACAGCGAGACTTCTCGGAAGCCCCCAAGTTCACCCAGCCACTGGCAGACTGTACTACCATCACGGGCTATGACACCCAGCTCTTCTGCTGTGTCCGCGCCTCCCCCCGGGTGAGTAGGGGGTCGGGGGTGCGTGCTGAGAGGAGCCATCTCAGAGAGCTGGGGAGGCTGGGGTGAGACCCTCTGCTCCTGGCTGGCCCTAACCTGGGCTGTGTGTTGTGCATTCTAATATTCTAATAGAATTATATTCCATCATAACATCTGTTGCCATTACCGCCGTCTGCCATGTCAACAGCGTGTTATTTGGGACAGTCAGGGAACTTGGAGTCCAGGGACTGTTGAGAACGAGGTTTCCTTTCAGTGTTTATTCCTCATACACAAAGACGTCGCTTCCTGGCCTGCTGGCAGCTAGGCAGGAGCTTCAAGTTGTCTGTGTGGTGGGAGTGACAGCCTGTGGGTTTCTCCTCACTCATTCAACCGTACCTCATCTGATCAGGCCGGGCACATGCAAGTGGCCTAGAGGCCAGCCTTTGGTCACAATCCTGAGCAAGGCTCTCTGTTCATTTATAATCTAATAATCGCACTCCCCACACAGCATAAAACACCATGAACAATCTTTACCGGCTGGTCACGGTGGCTCATGCCTGTCAACCCAGCACTTTGGGAGGCCGAGGTGAGAGGATTGCTTGAGTCCAGGAATTCAAGACCAGCCTGGCAACATAGTGAGATCTCGTTTCTACAAAAAAATCAGCCAGGTGTGGTGGCACATGCCTATAGTCCTAGCTTGGGAGGCTGAGGAGAGAGGACTGCCTGAGCCCAGGTGGTCGAGGCTATGGTAAGCCATGATCGTGCCACTGCACTCCAGTCTGGGTGACAGCATGAGACCCTGATTCAAAAAACAAAAACAAAGACAAAAAACCCAATCTTCACCTTGTGGGTTATGAGTCTGGGCCATACTACACGGAGAAGACATCTCAGAAGGGGAATGTCAATAGCCCACTCAAGAAATGACTTCTGACCGGGCACGGTGCTCAGCCTGTAATCCCAGTACTTTGGGAGGCCAAGGCGAGTGGATTGCCTGAGCCTGTGCGTTCAAGACCCACCTGGGCAACTTGGCGAGACCTCGTCTCTACAATAAAAATAAAAAAGTAGCCGGGCGTGGTAGCGTGTGCCTGTAGTTCCAGCTACTTGGAAGGCTGAGTGGAAGGATGGCCGGAGCCCAGCAGGTCGAGGCTGCGGTGGCTGGGAGCGGCCACTGCACTCCAGTCTGGGCGACAGAGTGAGACTCCAACTCAAAAAAAAGAAATGACTTCCTAATCAGAGGATACAGGAGCGACTTAAAGGTCCATAGTGAGAACAGAATAGGAACGATTCACAGTGCATATGTAAGAAAGAGGAGACTTTGGCGTCCAGGACCCGTGAGCCATGGAGGGCCCTTGAGCGCTGTGCACCAGACATTATCACCTTTCTTCTAGTCAGGGATACTTGGTGAAGAAGGTGGGGTTCAGGCGTTCTTTTCAACCAAGAGAAGAAGCTTGGAGGACTGTCGAACAGACCTCCCCCGTGTAAGGAACAAGGAGCCTTCCAGAAAGCCATGATCTACAAGCCCTGTAGACAGAGTCCCGGAGACTGAGCCCAGAGAGAGCCATCAGTCCTTACCCCCACCCCCTGCTTCCTCCCATCCTTATCTTCCAGCCCAAGATCATCTGGCTGAAGAACAAGATGGTTATCCAAGGCAACCCCAAGTACAGAGCCCTCTCTCACTTGGGCATTTGCTCCCTGGAAATCCGCAAGCCTGGGCCCTTCGACGGAGGTGTCTATACCTGCAAGGCGGTGAACTCCCTGGGAGAGGCTTCCGTGGATTGTCAGGTGGATGTGAAAGGTGAGGCAGAGGAGAGCCAGTGGAGAGTCAGTGCCTCAGGGGGCCCGTCCCCTCCTGTCCCCACTGGCGGAAGAGTCAGGGGCCAGAGACGCAGGCCTGAGTGGAGAAGGGCTTCCCCTCCGGGTCTCTCATCACTGTCCTCATCGGGATGTATTCGAGGAGCCATGGTTATGGTCCACTATCTCGTTTCTCTGAAAGACTCGTTCTTTTCATTTTGCATAGAAGCCCAAAGCACAGGGAGGGAACTAGTGGGCCTGAGGTTTCTGGTTTGGTTAATTGAGGGGGACTGGCTCTGCGGTGGGAAGAGTCCACTCCCTCAGAAGGAGCCCACCCCCCTGATCCTCACTTAGATCGTTGTTCTCTTTTTTTTTTTTTGAGTTGGAGTCTCACTCTGTGGCCCAGACTGGAGTGCAGTGGCACGCTCCTGGCCACCGCAGCCTCAACCTGCTGGGCTCCGGCGATCCTTCTGCCCCAGCCTTCCAAGTATCTGGAACTACAGGCGCGCGCTACTACACCCGGCTAATTTTTTGATTTATTGTAGAGATGAGGTCTCGCCAAGTTGCCCAGGCAGGTCTCGAACCCGCGGGCTCAGGCAATCCACTCACCTCGGCCTCCCAAAGCGTGGGATTACAGGCTGAGCCACCGAGCCCGGCTTAGATGGTTGTTCTTTAAGCTGTACCATCTTCTGGCTTGGTCTGGGAAAGCTGATGCTGTTAGCTGGGCTTTATTTTACTTTTTCTTCTGGCTTGTTGAAGGATACTATTGATATCCTACTCTCTACCTTTTTTTTTTTTTTTTTTGAGTTGAAGTCACTCTGTTGCCCAGGTTGGAGTACAGTGGCATGATCATGGCTCACCACAGCCTCGACCTGCTGTGTCCAGGTGATCTTTCAGCCTCAGCCTCTCAAGTAGCTGGGACTACAGGCATGCGCCTCCATGCCTGGTTAATTTTTTGGTTTATTGCAGAGATGAAGTCTCGCCATGTTGCCCAGGCTGGTTTGAACTCCTGAGCTCAGGCAATCCTCTTGCCTCCGCCTCCCAAAGTGCTGGGATGACAACCATGAGCTACCGTCCCCCGCACTCTCTGCCTCTGTGAAGTATTTACTCATTTATCCACGCCGGTCACATTGTCCAGATCACCATCACTGCACTTAACACATTGCCTTATGGTTATCTATTTCCAGGCCTGTTTCCCTATGAGACTGTAAGTGCTGTGAAGACAGGGGCAGTGTCTTCTTCACTCCCCAGGGTCTAGCCCACGCACAGAGGGCACTCCAAATGTCTGTGGCATGAGTCAGGAATGCATGGGCCCTTAGATGTCCTGTTTTCTCGGTTAGACTCCCTAACTAGCGCCATGGACTGCCCAAAACCTGAAATAAAGTATCCTTTCCCCATGCTGTGAAAGAAGGTAACCCAGAGATTTCTGAGATGTTAACATTGAGAACTGTCTGAACTCTTACAGCTCCTCACTGAGGATACCAAATTTACTCAGAGACAGGTAAGGAGAGAAAGCATGTCTCAAGGATGATTTCATGTTGATGACTAGTGCTGCTGAGTCGGGGACAGCTGTGATTCCTGAGCCTGTCAACCACATTCACACTGGTGATCACTTTTTTTTTTTTGGAGTCAGTCTCCCTTTTTTTGAGTTGGAGTCTCACTCTGTCACCAAGGTTGGAGTGCAGTGGCACACTCACAGCTACCCCAGCATCGACCTGCTGGATTCCGGCGATCCTTCTGCCTCAGTCTTCCAAGTAGCTGGAACTACCACGCCCAGCTAACTTTTGATTTATTGTAGAGATGACGTATTGTAGGTATAGACACAGTGGCTCATGCCTATAATCTCAGCACTTTGGGAGGCCAAGGTAGGAGGATCACTTGAAGCCAAGAGTTCAAGACCAGCCTGGGCAACATAGCAAGACCATTAATTCCATCCCACAAGCCATTTATTTAAGTCTCTACAAAAAGATTTAAAAATTAGCCAGGCATGGTGGTATGCATCTGTAGTCCCAGCTACTTGGAAGAGTGAGGCGGGAGAATCACCTGAGCCCAGGAGGTCAAGGCTGTAGTGGCCGTGATCTTGGCTCTGCACTCCAGCCTGGGCAACAGAGTGAGTAGTTCATAAACGTCATCACTATCACACGGGAGCAGGTAAGGAAAGCCCAAGGAGGCTGTTCCTGCCAACTGTTTCCACGTCAGTATTACGGGTGTGGCGAGAAACAAATTCATATCTTTGTTTTTACGTTGAAGTTTATGGATTCTTTCCCTTCTGAGAGAAGAAAATCACCATGATCATTATATAATAATTTAACATTTGGGTATGTGGTCCCAAGCAGCATGTTCTTTTTTTTTTTTTTTGAGTTGGAGTCTCACTCTGTCGCCCAGACTGGAGTGCAGTGGCTGCTCCCGGCCCCCGCAGCCTCGATCTGCTGGGCTCCGGCGATCCTTAAGCCTCAGCCTTCCGAGTAGCTGGAACGACAGGCACGTGCTACCATGCCCAGCTAATTTTTGATTTATTGTAGAGACGAGGTCTCGCCAAGTTGCCCAGGCGGGTCTCGAACCTGTGGGCTCAGGCAATCCACTCACCTTGACCTCCCAAAGCACTGGGATTACAGATGTTGCATACAAACAGTTGAGTAAGGTGGAAAAGAAGCTTATGAGAGAATTAAAGAGAACTAGTTCCCAATATGCACTCTGACTTGGAGCTCCTGGCTGAAGAAAACTGACCATTAATTCTATCCCATAAACCATTTATTTAAGCCTATTATTATTTTGAGTTGGGGTCTCACTCTGTCACCCAGGCTGGAGTGCAGTGGCACGATCATGGCTCACCCCGGCCTCCAACTCCTGGGCTCAAGTGATCCTCCCGCCTCAGCCTCCTAAATAGCTGAGACTACAAGCAGGCACCACTACACCTGGCTAATTTTTCTATTCTTTGTAGAGATGGCATCTTGCTTTGTTACCCGGGGTGGTCTCGAACTTCTGTCCTTAAGCAAGCCTCCCACCTCAGCCTCCTAAAGTTCTGGCATGAGTCACCACGCCCGGCAAGCCTGTTATTGATAAACAGTTGAGCAAATGAAAACCCTAAGGGGTGCCTTAAAAGTACAGTCTTGCCTCATGGGAAATGTGCTGAGTACCAAAACAAGAAAAAGCCTTCTCCTCTGGAGCGCGCTCTTTCTGTCAGCTGGCTTTGGGAGACAATCCTCTCTCTGTCCTTCCCCCATCTGTGTTGTTACATTGTGTTAGTGTTGGTTGTCCTCTCTCTTGGCCAGTGCCCAGCGATGAAGCAGGGTGAGTGGTGTGTCCCTAGCACAGACCCAGGGACCATGGAGAGGCTTGCCCTGGTAGTGTAGGTGGGCACTGGCTGTCTGCTGTGAAGGCCACAACATCCTCTCTCTTTCCAGCACCTCCGGGAAGCCCGACGGCAGCGCGAGTGTTCTCAAGGAGCTTCGGCACAGCGTCTGGTTTGGGCTAACCTAAATAAATGTGTGGCTCCCCAGCGCGTGTGTTCTTCTCGTTTCTAGAAAACATGTAGGAAGCTGCAGTCCTTTAGCCGGAGTGTACGGCCTCTCAGTACCCTAAGACTTTTCTTTCCCTTCCCATATCCCCCTTCTCTCCACAGAAGTTTCTTTTTTTTTTTTGAGTTGGGGTCTCACTCTGTCCCCTAGACTGAAGTGCAGTGACATGATCCAGGCCTTACCGCAGCCTCAAACTCCTGGGCTGAAGGAATCCTCCCTCTTCAGCCTCCTGAGGAGCTGGGACTCCAGGCACGCACTACCATGCCCGGCTAATTTTTTTATTTTTTGTACAGACGAGGTCTCGCTATGTTGCCCAGGCTGTGTTGCCCAGCAGTCCTCCTGGGTTGAAGCAAGTCACATGACTCAAGGGAAGGGGAAACAGACCGGGGCTCAAGCAGTCCTCCTGCTTTGGCTTCCCAAAGTGCTGGGATTACAGGTGTGAGCCACCACACCCAGCCCCTTCCAAAGAAGTTTCTAACATTGTCCTTTTCCCCAGTTGATGACAGCACTGAATTCAGCTCTGTATAATACTAGGTGCTGGGAAGAGCTGCCGCAGATGACATGCCCTCTTCCTCTTTGAGCTTTCCAGAAGGAACATCCAAGCAAAGAGGCAAAGAGCAGACACGTGCGTATATATATAGCTAATTAAAGTCAGAGCCTAAGACAGGGCTGGGATGACCCTAAAGAAATTGGAGCAGAGTCTCCTTAAGGCCAGGGAAAGGTTAAAGGTGAGGTTCCCTTGCTTATATTTGTTTTCATTCTAGAGCAAATAAGATATTGAAGATAATGGTGGAATTTGCCAGAGAGGCAGCAATCCCTCTCACTTCTGATTGGGCGTGGTGCTCCTCCTATCAGGAGCTGAGGTCTGTTTTCCCTTCCCTTGAGTCATGTGACTTGCTTCAACCAAAAGAATGTAGGGGACACTGCACCCATTCTGGGCCTGGGAGTTTCTGCTTTTGTTCTTGGAAGTCTGCTCCCACATAAAGAATCTCAGACTTGCCGGGCTCGGTGGCTCATTTTGTAATCCCAGCACTCGGTGTCTCAGCCTGTAATCCCAGCACAGTGGATTGCCTGAGCCCGCGGGTTCAAGACCCGCCTGGGCAATTTGGTGAGACCTCATCTCTACAATAAATCAAAAAATTAGCCGGGTGTGGTAGTGCACGCCTGTAGTTCCAGCTACTTGGAAGACTGAGGCAGAAGGATCGCCAGAGCCCAGCAGGTCGAGGCTGCGGTGGCCGGGAGCGGCCACTGCACTCCAGTCTGGGCGACAGAGTGAGACTCCAACTCAAAAAAAAAAAAAAAAATCTCAGACTAGATTACTGCATCATGAGAAGCCACATGGAAGACAACTACGGCCCTAGACACACGTGGCCACCTCAACGCATCAGCCCAGTCAACACCTCGTGGGGTAGAGGCAAGTCACCCCTGACCAGGTTGTAAGATTGTGAGCAAATACGTGGTTGCTGCTGTTTCAAACCACGACATTTCTAAGTGGTTTGCTACATAATCATCAATGACCGAAACAGCCTTCTATTCAGCAGCAGGCACTGAGCCAAGTGCTTTGTCTCTCTTGATCTTCATCTTACAGATGATGAAGTTGAAGCTTATAAGCTTCCCCAAGTCATACAGCTGGTAAACTGCAGAACTAGGATTTGAACCAGGTTTGTTGGACTTGTAGCCTTCCGTTTCCTCGCCTCTCTTTGCTCAGCAACCCTCACCATAGTGGGTCTGAGTTTAAGAATCACGCGTTTAAGAAGCAAAATATTTCCAGGAGACAATAAATATTAGGAAAGGTTTTGTTTTTGTTTTTGTGTTGGGGTCTCACTCTGTTGCCCAGGTTGGAGTGCAGCGGCACAATCATGGCTCACCACAGCCTTGACCTTCTGGGCTCAGGTGATCCTTCTGCTTCAGCTTCCCGAGGAAAAGAGTTTTTCTGTTGAGAGCGAAGGTGTATTTCTAGTTGAGGCCAAGTATCTATTCCAACTCTTCTCAACTGGAGTTCCACAAAAATGGAGCCTCCATGCCACACAACATCTACCATAAGTCATAAATTAACTGCTATGCATCTAGAATGTTACTAGCTATGAACTGTCTTTTCAAAAATTGGGGAAATAGTCACACAAATCATTTGTGGGGCCTGATGCCCTTATGGAACCTCTGCTTGAGGACGTGGGGGTAGGGGTCAGAGGCCAGTGCCAGTCAGCCATGTTCACAGTGGCCAAGACACCTCCCTCTAGCTAAAGCAGGACCTAGGCGAGAGGGGTGAAATGCCCCCAGTCATGATGCCCTAAGGAGCAGTCAGCCCTCCAGCCTCAGCCCATGGGCCTGTGCCTCTGCTACTTGCTGAATTATTCAAGGACCATCCCTTAACGTTCATATGTTCTCAACCTTCACGGTGAAGAAATAAAATCTCCACACTAGCTGGGCGTGGTGTAATCCCGGCACTTTGGGAGGTGGAGGTAAGAGGATTGCCTGAGTCCAGGAGTTCGAGACCAGCCTGGGCAACTTGGAGAGATTTCTTCTCTACAGTTTTTAAAAATTAGCCCAACATGGTGGTACGTACTTGTGGTTCCAGCTACTTGTAAGGTTGAAGAGGAAGGATTGCCTGAACCCAGCAGGTCAAGGCTGCGGTGGCCATGAGTGTGCCACTGCACTCCAGCCTGGATGACAAAGTCAGACTCCTACTCAAAAATAATAATAAATAAAAAATAAAATCCTCACATCGACCAACACCTCCATTCCTGCATTTAACACTTATAGAGTATTTTGGAATTCAGGTCTACTATGGGCCTCGGGGGGAGTAATTTCTTCATTAATTTATTTATTCATTATTTAACCCCAAATCTTTTTTTTTCCCTCCCTCCCTCCCTTCATAACCCCAAATCTTAAATACCTGCTCATACACATTCTTTTGGGTTTGAGATCAGTGGCTTTATGTTGGGTGAAGATTATTCTTGTGTCTGAAATCAGTACTTTCTGGTTCTGCTGTCATTTGGATGGAGGTCCACCGCTTTTTATTTTTTGCTGATACTCCAACAGCTTTCAAAATTCAGTGAGAGAAAATTGGAGATGAGTTTCCTTGGAAGAAACTAACTCCCAATTTGCTAAAACTTCCTCCACTTACCTAAGGATAGGTGAACAAGTGTCCAGTTCCCCTACTCAGGGGAAGAGAACATGCAGTTAATTTTCTTCCTCTCTTGTCTCCACTTTGCCACTACTTGCCTGGGGAAAGGGGAGCTACCGCCTCTGGCTTTCCCAACCTCTACTTGATGGCAGGTGGGGGGCAGTGTGCTGTTCCTTGGGTTCTTTGACTTCGCCAGAGAAAGGAATTTCAGAGTAAGTCAGAAGTATAGTTTAAGAATGAATGTATTAGAAAAAAGAAGTCACACTCAAGGAAGGCGTGGGTGTCTTAAGAGAAAGGGCACCTACTTGCCTTTGACAAGAAGCTTTATATACTTTTGCAATTATTAAGCAAACCATAGCTAAGAGCTGAGGGCTGTAGGTATCTGCTCATGAGTTTTGGTGACCATCTCTCCACCTTCTATGAGCTAAGAGAGGTGGGCTGCAGGTGTCTGGACATGAGTTTCGATGACCATTTCTCAACCTTTAAAGTCACAAGGACATTCTAAATCATGAAAGTTACTGTCTACTAGATTTGGGCTTTTCTTGGAACATCATGCCTGTGTTTTAGGTAGCTGCCTATTGTTTCTGTGATTTACTGCACTGGTAGATTCACATTCCAACCCACAAGGTGGTCAGGTCAGATATACCTGATTGGTCGGGTATATGGATAAGAAAGATCTTTGAACACTTACCCTGTTCTCAATCAGACTTGCCTAAGAAAACTTTACTACAGTATGTTAACTATGCCTGCCTCGCATAGACCATGAATCCTGCAAGCAACTTCACTAGCAGAGAAAGGTAATCCTCTTCTTTCTGCTCTTCCTCACATAAACTTGCAAGTTCCGGGCCTTCCCACCTTGAGTACCAAGGCTACTTTGCTTTCTGTGGCATTAATTACAATAACATCTCACTCCTGCAGACTTCACCATCTCAACCCCACAGCCAGAAACTAGGAAACAAAAAAGGCTATAAATGGCCAAAATAATGGGCATAAACTCTGGGGACTAAAGCTCAGGCTCTGTTTACAGGAAAGCTTCTCAGCCATTCTTTGGGGCCTTTTCACTTTGATTTTTTTATTTTGAGTTAGGGTGTCACTCTGTCACCCAGGCTGGAGCACCACAGCCTCAACCTCCTGGCCTCAGTCTATCCTTCTGCTTCATCCTCCCGAGTAGCTGGGACTATAGGCATGCGATACCACATTCAGTCGTTTTTTGATTTTTTGTAGAAACAAGGTCTTGCTAACTCCTGGCCTCAAGCAATCCTTCTGCCTTGGCTTCCCAAAGTGCTGGGATTATACTTTGGGAAGCCAAGTGTAATCCCACCAAGTGAGCCACCATGCCTGGACCCCACTTTAGATTTTTTGAACGTTTCTAAGCAGCTCTGTCCCAGCTGCTCTGGTAGCCCACGCAATAGAGGAAACACTCCTAACAAGTAGGCTGGCTTAAACATTTTACAAACATAGCTTTTAGTTCAGAGGTAGCTAGTTACAAAAATCCATTCTACAGTTCTTAAGGACACACTTGTTCATAATTATCCTCCTTTCACAGAACAGGGGCACAAAGGCAAATCTACCCAATGCTGCCCCACTGCTATAAATGAAGGAGTCATGGTAGAACTTTAACCTGGTTCCCTGGGTGGAAAGCCTGTTGTTTTCTTCACATCTTGGATGCCTCAGTCCTGAATGTTTTTGCATAAAAAGATGATGGTGGGCCAGTGTGGTGGCTCATGCCTGTAAACCCAGCACTTTGGGAGGTTGAGGCGTGAGGACTGCTTGGGCCTAGGAGTTTGAGACCAGCCTGAGCAACACAGTGGAACCTTGTCACTACAAAAAAATTTAAAAAACAAGCTGGGCATGGTACAATCCCAGCTATTCGAGAGACTGAGACAGAAGGATCGCCTGGTGTTGGAGGTTACAGTGAGCTGTGATGGTGCTGTCGAAGGAGATGGCTTAAAAGCTGTTGGTGATGTCCAGGTTCTTGGTGTCTCCAACAAGGAACTGGATGATACACACACAGAATTGTGAAAGTGAAGAGCAATTTATTAAACAGGAGCAAGAGTACACTCCAGAAGAATAGGGGCAGGCCCGAGCACCAAGATGGCTCAAGGGCCCCACAAAAGCATCCCCTGGGGCTCACAGCTATCCTAACTGGGGTCATGTTGTCTTCTTGTTGATTGGGCCCCATTAGCTGGTCTTGTTTTATTGGCTATTTCAAAATACCTCTTTGTTTGGGCTAGAAGTCCCTGAATGGAAATCCCCCACCAACAATAAGCTAAATTTGTGCATAAGTCTATATCACATAAGTCTGTATCGTCTGGTAAGTCCTTGGAGGGAAATTTCCATCCTGACCGGTTTAGGCCGGTCTTCCGAGAGCTGTTCCTGGCCCGTTTACTCACTCTTATTCCCTTGCTAAAGTCCTGTTTCACTTCCCCGAGAGACAGGATCCCCATAAATTTTTTTGGGAGGCTGAAGGCTGATGATCTATTTTCTGTAGCTGCTTCATGCTGGAAGTGGGAGTGACCTGCCTACCGGGGATCACAAAACTCTCTCCGTATTTGATCTAGGTGGGAGAGTGCGCCCCAGGCAGGTCACGAAGGTTGTCTCAAGGTTTGTCATGGGAAAGGCCGACATCAGGGCTGGACAATATGCCGTAGTGCGGTAATTATCAGCAGGGGCTCCAGGGGCTGGTATCCTTATTGTACAATCATTTGCAACTTCGTAGCCTCTAAACGGGATGAGATCAACTTAGTAAATTTAGCAGACAGGTTCCAAACACAAGAGCCAAAACTAACATCAACAGGGGTCCCAGAAGGGGCAATAAGCAAGGGAACCAATTTCAGATTTTTGACCAAGTTACCCATCATTCGGACAACTGTTGTCAGATTCATGAGGCTTTATCTGCTGACTTTTTTGCTGCATCTCTTACCACACCAGATTGATCTGTTATAGCTGAACCGTGAGAAACGAGTCGCCAACACACTGAGGGTCAAATTTTTGAGTCCTTTATTGCTGGCAGTTGAGAACAGGCTAACGCCAGAAAAAACTCTCAACCCTGAATGATGCAAGCAAGAGGTTTATAAAGGCAAAAACTGCAAGGATACATAGTAACTTAGCAACCATAAACTAGCAACTTTTGACCATGAGGGAGTTTCAGTTAACTTTACTTTATTCCCTGGCACAGCCAGTGACCAGAAAGGCCCTGGAGTTCTGCCAACAAGATGTGGTATACTGTTTACTGGGACAGTTAGGACAGTTACATGGAGACGAGGTGGAAGAACTACTATACAGCAGAGTCACCTTGGTTAGGTCACTAATAGCCATTTTAGATGGACACAGAAGCAGCATTTCTCCTCAAGGAACAAACAGAGTCCACCTTTTTCTGCAGGTAAAAAATCTGGCCAGCTGGGCAAGGTGGCTTAGCTTGTAATCCCAGCACTTTGGGAGGCCGAGGCAAGAGGACTGCCTGAGCCCAGGAGGTTCAAGATCAGCCTGGGCAACTTGGTGAGACCGTATCTCCACAATAAATTACAAAAACTAGCCGGGCGTGGTGGCATGCATCTGTAGTTCCAGCTACTTGGAAGGCTGAAGTGGAAGGATTGCCTATGCCCAGCAGGTCGAGGCTGTGGTGGCCATGAGCGTGCCACTGCACTCCAGCCTGGGCGACAAGAGTAACGAGTCTACTTGATGCTGGGGAGTTATATTTTGAGCTATTTCATCCAAGCTGTCTGAAAATTCTTTTGATAAACTCTGATAATAGGCCAGGGAAACGGACAGGCTAGTAACTCCAGAATTTACCCTGGTAGTCACACCCAGTCCCACTAGGAAGGGAATAAACTGGTCCCCGCCCACGAGCTGTCAGAAGAATACTCAGGGACTGATTGTTGGGTCAATGGTAATTTCAGGGAACAAAGAAACTGATGTGCAAGTTCCTGTCCAATTAGTAGGGAGACACAAGTAAGAGTTAGTACCACAAAGAAAGAAAATGCCAGAAGTTTCAAGGCAAAATCCTCTATCAATAGTAAAGAGATGAGTGAATTTGTTATTTTCATTTTCCCATGTGGAAAGGCTTCCGGCCAGGGCCGCTCAGTGAGTGGCTGGTATGGTCCCTGGGAAATACCCTGGGTGGTATCTTTGGTTTTGTTTTCATAGTGTAAATAGTACCTCAGTCAAGACCCAAGTGGTTGAGCTTTCAGAATTTGGCACAAGAAGACATTCATTCATCTCTGAATTGGTACAAGAATGCCAGGGGAAGATGTGGACACAACTGTCAGGTCTTCCTTGGCAATAAGTAGAATTTCTGTCTAATAAAGAAGAAGTATTGAGTTGAGGCCCCCATGAAAACCTCACTGGTTTCTGAAACGGTGCTTGTTGGGTTACTTGGCAATTGACCCAATCTCCTGGAGGCTGTATATCTATTGTGTGATTACAAAACAACAGATCCAAGGTAGCCACTGGCCAGCTGTCCCTGTGTGGGGGTGTGAGTCCTTTTAATGCAAATGATGCTTGAAATTTTAAAGGCTAGGGGTTCCCAAACTGGGGTTCTCTGTGAGCTCTCAGTGGTGAGATTTGTCAGGTAAGATCTGAGGAGGTTGACTGCTCAGTGAGTATGCTTTTAGTCATTTCAGTTATCCGAAAGGTCTGTAATCCTTGCACATTGATTAACCAGGAGAGTAGGCCCCCTTTATATTTGATATGGGGATTCATCTTGCTGGTCGCCCACAGCTAAATGGGAACAGGGACAGCTGTATACTGGGCAGAAGAGGGCAAGCAAAGCCAGCAGTCCTTGGCCAGATTTGGGTTGGAAGAGTTCAGGAGTTGACAGGTTAACTCTAGGGTCTAATGAGTGTATCTGGAATTTAATATTTCTTCGACAGATGGCTTTCTCTCTGTCATTACGGTAGTTATGCTTAGACTACAGAGAAGGAGAGACATCATGGAGTTCTCCATGCCAGCACTTATCTCAGTTGGACGTTTTCTTCCTTTGGAAGAGAAGTCTGGGTCCCCAGCGGCTCATGGGCACAGGCACTCTTCCTGAGTGGCTTTACTGTCCTCACTGTTCTCTTCCTGTAATGAGAGGGGCACAGGCTTGACCCTGGAGAGATGGATCCAACTGTGTATGTCAGGTACTCTTCCAAGAACCTGGACATCACCTACAGCTTTTAAGCCGTCTCCTTCAACAGCGCCACTGCCCTCCAGCCTGGGCGACTGAGTGCGACCCCGACTCAAAAAGGATGCACTTTTTGGAGGAGGATGGGGGATGGAGGATGGAGGAGGAGGAGGAGCTTCTTAGAGAACCTCCATGCCCCTAAAGGAGAAACGTGCAGGTGCTTCCTTACCTGGGGAGAAGCCCGCAGCCGAGGAGCCCGGCCTGTGCGGCGCCGAGTGCGCCCACGGACACTATTTCCCCACCCCCCCCCG